CACAGCCTCTCGGCCCCAGAAGTCATCTTCTGCGGTTACCCTCCTGCCGCCTCTGTCTACTGTCTCCCCAGCCGTCTCACAGGCCTGGGATAGATAATGTGCTTTGTGGACTTCCCCGCCGCTTTAAATCTTGCTCTTTACGGTAAATGCCTGCGCCTGATTGCCCTGAGGATGGAGGCAGTGTTCCAAGGGCCCCCATCCACACAGGCCCCTGACTTCATTCGGAGATGGGAGGCTGATTCTTTATCTGTCCCAGGAACACTGAAGAACCACCGGCCTTGTAAGCAATCACAATCACGGGATAAAACCAGCCTGTTCTTTTGCATTGTTCCCTTTTTTTTCCCCCCAAAGGAAATGTAAGGGAATCCCAGGGGAATTTTTGCCCATGATTTCCAAGGCAAAGGTCACTGTTAATGGCTGGCTGTTTCCAGAGTGTTAAGGCTTCTGGTCAGTATGGATATTTTTTTTCTTTTCCTTTTTTTTTTTTTTAATTGATGAACAAAAAATGGTTGATGTTGCTTTGCTTTGTGAAGATTTTCCCTGGCTCCTTCCGTGAACCGATGGTTGTTTTGTAAGTTTTGTGGGCAGCCCTTTCAAAGTTTGATGAGAATAAGTAGTAAGTGATCTGTGTTGAAACAGATCTGTCTGAATAGTTCTGAAAATAAGGTTGGAAAATTTTCAAGAAGGAGAGGGTGACAAGTTTTAGGAGTAGGGGAGTGTTGGGCCATTCCACAACCAGCCGAAGTAAGAGCTTGGATTTGAAATTGGCCAGATAGGCACTGAAGAGCTTTTTGCCTCCCTTGGTGAGACTGAACTAAGGAAAGGATGCTCCTCGTTTCTTTCAGTATTTTTTTTTTTAAGATTTTATTTTTAAATAATCTCTTTGCCTAGGGGCGCCTGGATGGCTCGGTCGGTTAAGCGTCCGACTTCGGCTCAGGTCATGATCTCACAGTCTGTGAGTTCGAGTCCCGCGTCGGGCTCTGTGCTGACAGCTCAGAGCCTGGAGCCTGTTTCAGATTCTGTGTCTCCCTCTCTCTCTGCCCCTCCCCTGTTCACACTCTGTCTCTCTCTGTCTCAAAAATAAATAAACGTTAAAAAAATTTTTTTTATTAAAAAAAATAATAATAATCTCTTTGCCTAACCTGGGGTTTGAACTTACAACCCCGAGATCAAGAGTCCCGTGCTCTACCTACTGAGTCATCTAGGCGCCCCCTTCTTTCAATGTTTATAATCCTGAGCTCCCCAGCTCTTGAAACTGGCAGCACAGATATACAGCTGATAGAGTGGAAAGGGTAGCTTGGCAACACTCTTGGGGACAGTAAGTGGAGAGAAGTTACTCATATGTAAAGGAACAGTATTATGAAATCTACAAAACCGGTTGTCAGTTACTCCACGGCCCCACTCAGCCTTATCGCTTGGTATTTGAGCAGTCGCTATTTTTAGCGTGAGAATTCAACCAGCAAAAGTCACAGATTTTATTGTGGACTTCATATTATGGAAGATCACTGTCTTCCTGATTCCAGGAGCCGCTGAGTTCCATGTGGTGAGTTTTCTTAGCACCTAGTATGTTAGACCTAGTCGAATTTTTTATTCCAGGGTTTAGAACATTTAACTACTTCCATGAGACATCTGGGGTGAAGGTGATCTTGTTTTTTTTTCTGTTTAGGAAAACGTTCCTAGATTTCTGTCAGGAATCGATCTGCTTTCTGTTAAGACACACACACACACACACACACACAGTGCTGCTTTTTCTTAGTTTCCTTTTAAGTCATTTATATGTTAATTGTTGCTCAAGAGAGAATTAATGATTTTTACAGTTCCCTAAACTGAAACGTGATCTTTCACAAAATTAATAGAAATAAAGTGCTTTTCCACTGTAATGTGTGGTACGTGTCTTCTATTACTCTGAAAATCAAATAAAAAATAATCATTCAAAAACATTAATATTTGCTCAGTACAGAAAATTCAGAAGATACTAAGAAATAAAAAGAAGGTAATCGTAGGTGATCCACCCTCCACCCCCTCCCCACAAAAAAAACAGTTAATTTGGTGTATTTTATGGGTAATTTTTAGCATTAATGGTATTTTTTAACAATTGGTAGTAACTAGTAGTTCATTTTTTTTCTGATAGCCGCCAAATCGCAAAGATGAAATTTTAAAAATTTAAATTGTAACTTTTTGAGTTGTATGTTGAATGTAAGTGTTGTTGCTGGTTAAAATAGCAAAGATCAATGATTCACTGCTGAGAGATTCATGGTGTCAGCGGAGGTTTTCTACAGCAGTAGGGACACAGTCGCCTTGACTAAGTTAAATCACAGGTCACTAGCCACCCACTTGCAAACAAATGGTGAAAGTATAATTTCCTCTTCTTTATATTCAGTCAAGGGAAGGCACCAAGACCAGTGAAGTTGCCTTAAGTCAGGGAGTCACAAACAAAGATTGCACAGCAAGACCGCGAAAAATTCACAGAGGGAACCGCCCCCTCTCAATCAGAGAGTTGGTCTCTGTTTTTAGAAGATTCTGTGTTACGGGGAGCTGGTTCGCCGTATCCTGCAGGAAGGGGGCGCTCCGCCTTGCAAGAGCCCAAAGAACCTTGGGCCTTTTAGCAGTAGCGTGATTTCATCACATAGACTCTCGGCAGCAGGCTTGTAGCCAAGGTTGGAAAGAGCGCCGTGTGAAACGGTCATAAAAGTGGTTTTGTCCCCTGTGCATCTGACACGCCGTCCGTCCACACGACAGCTTTTCCTCCGCTGCGTGTCTTTGCCCATGTTCCTCCCTGAACTCTAGCCTGACTGTGCTCTGCTTTTATTCTTCCCAGCTTAAGTGAGAGCTTTTTCATGGTGAAAGGAGCGGCCCTCTTCTTACAACAGGGAAACAGCCCTCAAAGCCAGCGAAGTCTTCAGCATCCCCACAAGCATGCAGGTAAATTGAGGTTCTTACATTGGAACTTACTTTCTGTGCAAATGGAGGAACCTTCCAACACGGTGGTGAGCCCTTGGCTGGCTTTCAAGGCCAGAGAAATAGCGGAACGCAGGCTTATGACGCCTGCTGCATGGGAGAAGCTCTTTTCTTGAGCGGGCAGGCCAGGCGGTTTTCCAGGTGGCTCTGGGAGCCAGTGACCCTTTGGCCGTACATTTCTACGGAAGCAGTAAGGCAGTCGGCAGCGTTCCATCTGGATGCAAAGGTTTCCCACTCCCGGCTTATCAGTTAACTGCAGATTTCAAGTTGCAGTAGGACTTTTTAACAAGGGCACCAGTGCGTGTGACAGCCAGATGTTGTCCCCCTTGGAAATAACCGCCTTGGGATGCTGTGTACCTACTTGGAGGACTCTGGTCATTTCCCCGAGCATTTGGAAAGCTTTCATTTGGAGGATTTCTTTATGAGTCTTTGGAAGGCACTGGGGGGTGAGAAGACTTTATTATTGAACAGTGGATTTGGTTTTTGAAAGTAGACAGGAAGTGATAAAGTGGGGATCAAACCCAGTATTCATTTAGGTGCAACAGCATACGAAAAAGAAATGCTTAGATGGCAATAAGACCGGTTTTCTTAGGTGACAACTCTGAAACCGAAGGCGGTTTAAAAGAGGAATCAGAAACCTCCGCGTACAAGTGAATCTTTGTAACGGGTCCACGGCCTCTTTGGGCACTTCTCGGACGGGCAGCGCATGCCTCAACGCCATCTGCGAAGGCCTCGAAAGCAGCCAGCAGCTGCAGCCAGTTTTCTTGTCTCTGTGATCCTTTTGTCTCCAACCTCGAGTCCTCCAGCCTCATCTTGGATCCAAGTGCTTCAGTTCGAATTTCGTGTCTTACAGTTGACAGAAACAGCAAGGCCCAGTCAGTACTTTCCCCGTATGGATATGCGGAATCAAGATTTGAGTCTGTTTTAAGCTCAGAAAATAGTCGTCCTGCACAAGGAGGCGGTATGGTTTGGGGCAAGAATACGTGTCTTGGAGCCAGATAGACCTGGCTTCTGATCCCAGTTGTATAACTTACTGAGCAGTCACGGTCGACTCCTGACGCTCAGTTGCCTGATCTTTACAACGGGCCTCAAATACCGGTAACTCACACAGCATGGAATGTGAAATGTATGCGTGTAACATCCTTCCCTCCCTGTGGGTGCTCTGTGTCTGGAGCTGTGATTGTCACGACCGCGGTAGCAAGGACAGTCACCCTGCAAACAGAACCGTCTTTCTTGAACCTGCTCACGGTTCTGCCCTGTCAGGAATTTAACCATTGTTCGTGTCTTAACACCTACAACAGAGCGAATGCTCCCGCTTTGTTCACTCTCCATATAAAATGTCTCCATCCTCTGATTCAAGCAGTGTTTCCGTACTGTGTGCAAGCTTGGGGAAGGAGGTGCAAAGCCACATAAAAACCCCAAGTCCGGCTGGTTCCTGCATCTCTGGAGCGTACAGGAGAGTAGAAAGAAAGCCACAGGTTTGGTGGCTCTTCTGCCCCCGAGGTCTGGAATGACCAATGAGCTCAGGAAGGCAGAGGGACCATGACTGTCTCAGTAAACGACCCTGGGGCAGGCACAGACTGGACTTGACGTTGATTCCTGTTTTTCTAGAATTACTGTCAAGTGCCCTGGAAGACCCACAATCCCATCAGTAATCACGCAGAGCAGAGTACAAATGATGGTTCATTTTGCCCACGCAAAGGTCATTCCGGTCGTGTCAGCCAGTCCCCAGTCTGAGGCACTTGCGAGGGGCCTATACTTGAGGCTTATGTTCTCTGATCTTTTTGCAAGTGCTGAGTGAACACTTCAGCATATAGAGACAGTGTGTGGAAGGCAGACCACGGCTGGGAGTTCTGTCGGTCAGCAAGTCCACATCTCCACAGGCAGGTCCCGCTGAAAGGAGCCTATCTATGTGGAAAATGCCCCTTTCATTTAGGCACACGTCAGACAAAGGGGCTTGTTTTTGCTTTCCTCTGTGTGCTGTGACTCAGAGCGGGTGGTGCTGGGGTGCAGGCAAGCCCAGAACCAGCTGAGGTGGTTGCGTGCCGTTGGGGCGCGGGGACCACGCCAGGCAGGGGTGCTGTTGTAGACGGAGGGGGATGGGGAGCACATTGTCCTCTTTTAATGTGACCTGTCACCTGCCAGTCAACCCTTACGGAAAGCAGTGCCAGTGTGGGGTGTTTGACACAGTGCAGTCCTGTAACGGGGAGACCAGACGAAGGGGGCAAGCTTCTAACGACCTGAGTCCTCCCTGAGGAAAGAAGTACGATTCGGACATCATATGTTTCAACCTGCCCTACAATGTGAAAGATGCTTCTGCAAAAGAAACGAATCCAGTGCGGGCACCTGGGTGGCTCAGTTCGTTGAGCGTCCGGCTTCGGCTCAGGTCACGATCTCACCGTTTGTGAGTTCAAGCCCCGCGTCGGGCTCTGTGC